ATGAAACCTTTGGTTCTTCTTTGCCAGAAAGGGGGGTCAAGCCATGTGCCCTCACATGTTCCGCAGAATCCTCCACAGGTTGATGAACAAGTTTCTACGCGACCCTGAGTGCAGTGCTATACCATAAGTCCGACAGTTCATGTATGTATAGTAGGTGCCCAAAGCGAGGGGACCCCAATGGAGACCCCAAAATACTAGAATCCTTGTTATGGGGACTCGCCCAGAGGTGCCCCTAATTTTGGGAACCTCCCCTATAGGGTCATTTAAGATTTTGTCCATAGCTGCCCTCTCTCCAGGCCACCGGGTAGCAATCGCCGAAACTCACATGGATCCAATAGTCTAAACTCCTTAAAGGGGGGTTCTATAGGGTTTAGGATATAGGGTTTAGGGTTTGGGGCCTAAACTCCTGAAAGGGGGCATTATAGGGGATTACATCGGGGAATATTAGGAGGTTATCAAGGACTTGAAGACTACAGCTCACATGGATCCAACACAGTACCCCTCGATGAAAAAGACAAATGCTGTTCATGGGCCCGTCTTAGCTTCCACGTTAGTTTGCATACCTTGAACTGCCTCCAGCTGTGGACAGGCCCCTGCTCCTGAGCCAGTTGCGGAGGAGAAGGCGGCGAGCTGCGAAGACAACTAGGGTTTAGGGTTTAGGGTTTAGGGTTTAGCGCCAAATAGCAAGTTTGTAGCGACAAAGCCCGAAAGTGGAGCTGCTTCAGGCTTTGCAGTTAGAAGACGAATCAAACTTTCGCCGGCAACAAAGGGTACAGGGTTAAGGGGATACAGGGAAGAGTTAGAATACTGAGGTTGGGTATACATTGGGCAAATGCATAGTATTCGTTGTATGCAGCTGAAAAACCAGAGGGTCCATGTATCCAATAATTGGGTACTTGGGACTTGGGTAGTAGTAAGTATAGTACTGGTTTGGGGCAAGTACATGGTCACGAGGTACTTGGGCCTTCGGGAAAAGATTGCCCACCGTGTCGTGTGCCGTGTTTTCAGAACAAAGCTATTATCCTACCCCCTAGCACCCAAGCAGATAAGCAACGGACTTGCAGCGAAAGATAATTATGGACTGCTTGTAGTTGCCAGTTCTCCAAATGGAGCTTGCGCCACAACTTCCCATGGCCATCTGAGTAGCTGCTGATAGGATATGAGGGTTCCCAAAGTGGTGTCCTCCGATCTACCCCCCCCCCCCCCCGAAATGTCCTTACTACAGCGGCCACGCACAAGGGTTTGCCACTTGGATTTTTTTTGCAGCTCGCGTCAAGCAAGTACTCCCTCTAGAATCCGTAGGGCGGGGTGGACGGTTTAGGATTCAGGGCTTAGACCCGAAGAGTATACCTATAGGATCTTCTTTTTTGAAAATACTCCGAAGTGCAGGGACCCACATACAGTCCCAATACGGACCTTTCCTACGTATGCATACATACATATATGCAAATACTGTCACGCTACACAACCCTAAACCCCAAAACCC